TAGTTCACCAGGGAATATGTTCGAAAATTTTCGGAGCACAGGAATTTCTTAAATGCAAATTTCTTTTTTAGGCTTGTCTAACGTAAAAAAGAATAACTGGATTAAAGCATCAGATAAACAATGTAGTTACTATGAAGAAATAATATATAAAAATGTTTATTAATTTGTGAAGGGTTCTTCGTTAGAAAGGTTGAATACAATTTTCTTATGAAAACAATTCACGGTGGCGTGATACGCTGCTAAGTAGTTCATTCCCAGAATTACATCAAAATTCCCAGTGTCTAGTGCTATCAGATGTACACTCAATTTTCTACCTGCTATTTATACGATACAAACTTTGTATATGACATTCCCTAACAGTATTCCATTTCCGGGTGTAGACGCAAACAACACAGAATTAAGATTTTCAGATAACACATTCAAATTTTTTGTGAAAGTATGCGAAACGAAAGAATATGAAGCACCGATATCAATTAAAACATGTACAATGTGATTACAGACAATGTACATAGCCTATATCACTTCCGAGTTGGTTTCAGTATCCTGCTGGGTGAGGGTATAGACTCTGCCCTAGATTGGAGGTCTGACCTGATTTTAATTCCGCGGACACTCTCTCGCGTAGTGCTGGACACTTCCATATATGCGGTAGGTATTGTTGAGACGATAGTAGGGTCGGTCCCCATGATTCTTTCCGCAGTGCTGACTAGTCCTGCTGTGTCCTGTTGCCGGGGTTTGAGGAGGAGCTTGAGTCGCAGGCTTAGGCCTCTTATTCTGCTGAATCGGTGTAGTGGGTGTTGGTCTGCAATGTGGAACTGGGGTCCTGGAATTTTCCACCGCTGGAGGGAAGATGCGGACGTTCCTTTCTATTAGCTGTGTCTTACCTAGAACTACTAAGTAGGTACTAAGATCGAATACATACACCTGTTGTTTGATCTCAGGACGAAGACCCCACTCAAACTTCCTTACCTTTCTGCCTTCGTTCATCATGTTCTCGGGAGAGTATCAGCTCAACTCCAGAAATTTCCAAGTATATTCGGAAATTGTTATATCACCTTGGATCAGGTGTGCAAACTCCATCTCCTTCAAATGTCGAAGGTGTTTTGGGAGGTACTTTGCATTGAAAGCTGTCAGGAACTGTTCTCCGATGATCGAAATGGGTAAGGTGAGCTGCTTCAGTTGCCACCAACGACCAGCCTTACCTACGAGCATGTAAGTATCAAGTATGACTTTCTGTTCGGGAACCGCTTCGAGAATTGTGAAGGTCTTTTCTGTCTCTGTCAACCAGTATTCAGCTTTTTCGAAAATAGATGCCCCTTTAAAGGTAAATGAGTTAAGTCTTTTGTACCTCTCAATGTAGTCTGAGTCCATCACGGGTGGAACTGGATCTTATTAAAGAGGAATTGGATTATACTGAGGAGGGACCGGGTGATCCTGTGGTAGAATCTAGTTGTATGGGAGCACCGGATTGTACTGTAGCGCTTTCGGATGATATAGTGGAGGACTAAGGTTGTACCAAGGTCGCATTGGATCTTCCTGTTACAGGGGTGGCTCATACTGTGGCAGAGGTGGAGTGTTAGATAGCTTCCTCCTCTTTTCCCTGGCCTGCTGAGTAGAGATGAGTCTCTCCAGCATCTCAAAGAGCTGATCGACATTCTCTCAAAGCGACCCATCCTGGGCTGCGTTGTTCAGTGAGGACCTTCCTCTTCTCATATCTTTGTACCTGTATTTCACAAGAAAGAATTGAGTGTCGAGTTGTATTGAATGATTCTATCCTCTGTGCAAGGAATGATTCCGAAGAACGCGACTTTAATACCAACTGTAAAGGTCCAAAACTTGATAGAAATGGATACATTGTATTAGTAAAATAATAGCGGAAGCAATTATGAGTTTAGAGTTTACATTTCTTGCACAGTAAATCAAGATACTCAATAGGATTATGA